ATGGCATCTGCCTGGCGTGGATGATCTCGACCCTCTCCGGAGTCCCGGTGAGTCTTCGTAGACGGCGCGTGCGCCTGAGCCTTCTTGTAGTCTTTGAGCCGCTGCTCCAGGGCCGCGATCTCAGCGAGCGATAAGTCTCCGAAAGGCACTCTTCATAGGCGCGAAGGCCTGCCTTGGCATCCGCCTCATCTAGCCTTTTCTTCTCCTCAGCTCCCCAGAATCTTGCCATACGTGGAAGCAAGTGAACAGCCAAGCGAACAGCCAAGATGCCATGAGGAAGCCTGACGCTAGTAATGCCGCCTTCCTCTGCTGCTCATCCTGCATGCGACGCTTTTCCGTAGAGCGAGATTGCTCGCATATGCAACGCGATCGACAACCCAAAGCGAAATTTCAATGTTCCCAGGTAAAGCACGGAACTATTTCAGGTGGGTCACGCACGTTCAATGATCTACGAATAGGCAGGGCAGGCACGGAAAGCTGCGCAAACAGTTGGACTTGCAAGTTGACGTCCTTGATCTTCTGAAACCTGGGCTCGGGGTTCCGGCGCAGTGTCGTGGCGGCAGGCCAAGCAACAAGGGGTTCGGTCGTATGCTTGCCAGGATGCGCTCTTGCCTGCAACTCCTCGAAATCTCCCATTCCTTCAAGAGCTGTTACCTGGGGCAGTGCAAACATGAGACTCGATCTCCGGTGCCACAGTTGCTGGTTTACAACAAGCTGCCGGAGGCAGGTCGTCATCGGTGACCTCGCAACGTGCATGCGCCCAATTGCAATTGCAAAAGTTCGTGGATGGTTCGTGTTGCATCCAAAAGGCCATGCGAATGCCGTCACCTGTGCTGCAAGCAGAAGACCAAAAGGACTCATGCATCAAATCCATGCAGGCCCATGATGCATGCAAACCCAAACTGCAGCAAAGCCGCCAAGCTTGACCCGCAAACAACGGCGCACGTCTTGCTCAGACATAACTTGGATGCGAAGCTTTGCAAGCGGAGGGACTGGGAGGGGAAGGTTGCACGCCCTTGGACAAGCAGCGGCTGACACCGTCTGAGCCGTGAGCATTGCAGCCGCTTCTCCAGCTCTATTAGCCGAGCTTTCTTCAAGCCCTTCGAAAGAAAAGACTTTAGCCAGCAACACAGATGTCCAATGCGCTCGTTGTTATCGTTCCGGGCCTCCCAGACTCCCACACGCTCCTCCTTTATTCTTCTGGCCTGCCAGTGGATGCAAGACGCCGGAGATGATGGAAGCTCGTCGTGGCAAAAGGCGGCACCCTCTCGGCATCTGGAACTTTGGCGGAAACCTGTCCAAGGCTTCAGACTTTAGAAGGTGAGTTTCCCCTTTAAGGGGCCAGTCCAGACCTCCACATTCTGGTCTTTGGAGCCATCGAGATCCTGAAGCGCCCAAGTGACTGGACGGACATCTGAAGCCGAGGCTTGCGACCTCTGGCTCCAGTCCCAACCAGATCATGGCTGCCAACACTCTTCGTGGGCCATGCCTGAAAGCTTTCACCCGAGAATTCAGCCAGGAGCAGACGCTGTGCTTAGGCTGCCACCTGCCCTGAGGGTCAACCAAAGCTGCAATTTGCTGCAGCGCCTCCTTCCTTAGGAATCCCGAAAGTGCTTGTTCGGACAGGATTGGCAGCGGTGCTTCTGAACTGTTGTCCAGGATATGCAAAGTGCAGCTAGATAGCTTCTTTCCACCCGCAGGACGTGCCATTCCTCAGATCCACATCCGTCAACAGTTGAGCAATCAAGTGCGAAGCACTTGGCATCACATCTGCCTAAGGTCGCTGCCGCTCTGACCTTTAGAGGGAGCTGACGGAGCCTGTGACAAACTTGGCAGAAGAGCAGACGCAGAAACTTCGACACGCCTGCCTCCGTTGCAGCTGCAGTCTGCGCCATGACTGCGCTGCCGGGGCAAACCTACTGTCTATGGCGTTTCTGGCTCTGGTCCTACCCGTACCGTTCGGATATTCTCTTGTCTGGCTACAACAGCGAGACTCGCTGTCTTCCGGGCGCACAGCCGCCCATAGCTGTGAGCCAACACGGGCACGAGGCAGATGCACTGCCGTGAAGTACTGTTTGCCAGTGCAAGGAGTGTGAGAGATAGCTTCTCCCAGCAAGTCTTGCTTGAAGGCCTGTGTGCCCTCACAGCCTGGCCACCGTCGGAAGCTCACCGGATCCTGCACCGAAGGAGTGGCGTGCAGGAAGCAGGGCGAAGCAGACGCAGATTGAGTGGCTGACATCCCGAATAGTTTCTATTGAGAGCGCCCCATAGCGGCGGTCGTACCGCCGATCCTGCCAATTCACTCTCAGGCAAAGCTTGGCAGACATCTGCTGCTGCGAACTCCTCGGGCGTGGTTTGCGAGTTCTGGTAGGCTTCATTGCTCTTGCTGCAGTTGTCCTCTGCTCATCGACTTTGCAGGCAAAGGTCTGTGCTATACAGAATCCGGTGGGCATCTGAGCTCACTGCAGCCATGTAGTCAAATGACCTCCCAGCACATTGCAAGAGGCTGTGCCGACAAAAGCCCACATCATGTCTCGGAACGAGGCTGGTGGGGTCGGGCATGATGTCTGCGCCACTTCGTCTTGAAGTCATTCTGATGGATCCTCGGCTTCCGGTGAAAGGCCATCACCCATCCGCCATAGGTGCCAACGCATCGTCTAGGGCCGGCGCCCCCCACGTAGATTGAGCTGCCACTCGATGCTTGGAGCTGGGCCAGAAGAGTGCCGCACCAAACCGTTGCACCTATCAAGAACCAGTTGGTCGAAACGATGCCTAATCCTGCACTAGAGACAGGCCAAAGAAAGATAGAAGGAATGCAAGTGGGTCGCATGTGTGCGGAGTTGGCGAAGTTCTGGTATTTCCCCCGAGCTTGGCTTTCGCCATGATACCTCGGACTGATGCGAGATCTTGACTGCACTGATCTCTGAACTTGAGAAAGTCTCGCACGGACCGTCGGGATGCTCTGGAGCCAGCGGCTCTCGCCGTGTTCGGCCTGAGATCCGGCACGTTTTCTCATAACTCGCACTCACAAACACACCAGAATCTTGCAGAATCTTGCGAAGCCGCGAAAGCCAGCGAGCGATCCGAGCAAATCGAGGCTGGGCTGCCGGCTCTCCAACAACTCAGAAGTGTGCAAGTTGGGAGCGGAGGAAGCCGACTTAATCTGACGGGCAGTCTGCGCATGCTAAACTCTTGCACCAACCGCCCAGTGTGCAAACCTCCTTCGGTCTCCTTACTTGGCGAAGGGTAAGGTTCCAGTCCTGAGAGTGTCTCTCCCTCCACTCCGCTGCCACCACCAAAGATGGAGACTGAGGCTGCTACAATCTGCGATCGATTGGAAGCAGAGCCCTGATACACTTGGCCTCAGCCACTGAATCTTCAAAAACGCTGTGCATGAAAGTCGGGGAGCCGAGCCAGATTCCATGCCGCCAAGACGCGTAGCTGATTGTGGTTCCGCGAGGCGTACCTTGAAAACGCCACTTCGTCAAAAGAAACATGGCGCTGGTGCGGTGCTGGTGAGTGCGCACAACTTATCACCGATGATGTCGGTGTGAATCCTGCAGACAGCTGGCAATCTGTGACATCCGTAGCAGCAGTCCCTCAGTCTCTCAACTTTAGAGAGCTTGGAGCCCTGCTCCATGGGCAGAGTGCTCATGGCTGCGGCAAGCTGAGTCCTTGCAATTCGGACGCTTCGCACTCACGCTCAATCTTGCTCCATCTGCCTGCCGAGTCTACCTGCTGGCATGTCACCGGCCTCGCGAACTCGCATAGCCGCCTCCCCTCTGCTAAACTGCACCTTGAGAGAAAAGAGCGCGCGCAGCGCCATCTGGCCAAGCAGAACACGAGCCAAGGAGTGTCACGGCCCCATGCGGGATCCCATGCAACCCAGCCCCTGCAACATCCCGTTCTCTCCAGTTGCGACTCGGTCTGAAAGGGCTGAACGATGCGTCCTTCTCATCCTAGCCTTAACAGCGCCTTGCGAGTATAGCAGATTCGTTGACCGTTGGTGGCTCAGAAAACCTCGTGTGACCCCTGTGACTCGGATGCTAGCTTACTTGCAGAAGGCCACGTAGACATGTTTTGACCTCGCACCACAGCGGGTCGGAACCGCGAGCTCGAGCTCGTATGAAACTGCACAGCACAGGTAGATCAAGGGGAGGGAACTAGTCTGAACAGTGCACCGTGGAGGTCTTGTCCTGCCAATCAAGGATTGCATGCTCTAAAGTTCTTCGATGGATCAGATTGCTTGAATTAAGTTCTTATGCCTGAAAAACGGGACAAACTGCAATGGTCCACATCATGCTCCTCTCATGGGAAGTCAGACAAGACCTCTCACCATGCACTGCAGAACAGAACGAACAGAGATCCTATTCCAGCCGCTCAATGGAATTTCCCACATAGTGGGACATGGCTTGAACGGACTTATGAAACTTGAAGCTCCTGGCCACTGCCGGCAGCGAGCCCACAGAAACTGTGTTGCGTGCCCGACTGCGATCTGACCATGGAGATCTGGGTGGAGCTGCAGCCATTGGCAGAGCTCCACAGGCATACAATCGCAAATAGCTGCCACCACCATCACAGGTCTGATTAGGCTGGCAGCTATTCAAGCTCGAGAACACTGCAATGTCTGGAACGTCGTTGCCGACTCTCCGTACATCTCAAGCCTACACCAATGCATCAACTCGTTGCAGCAACTGTAAAGGACTTTCTCAGCACCATCGCACGAGACCTAAAACCTCCAGCCATGCTGGACGAGAACAGCAACCGCTTTCCAAAGTGCACAAAGATACCAAAATAGCTGCACGCTGACCGGAATCATGGGAACGCGGCCAACGCAGCTCTTGATAAAGCAACATGAGTGTTCCACAGCGTGGCTCACTCTTGCTTCTGTGCATTCATCTCGTGACAACACCTGCCAGATGTCTGCTCCGACACTGCTAGCCGTTGCATTTCTAGAGATGCTACGCTGCTACGTCTATCCAGAAATGACATGCACCGGCCTAGGGATCGGACGCGCTGAGCGAAACCTCTGTCGAATCCGTCCCGGTGAGTATGAAGTTTTGTAGCGGTCGGACCTTGAAAGCTTCGGGGATGCCGTGGCAGTTCTGCAACCGTTGGGGAAAACTAAGCATGCTTCCGTCAGGAATAGCTTGCAGCTCGCCAGAGGAACGTCTCCAAGTGCAATGCCACCATAGCCCTGCGCCTCACCGATCCGATCTTTACCCGGAAGCTTCGGCTTAATACACGTCGTAGAGAACAAAAAGTCTGCCAGGCTTTCCGCTCTGCGAAGACCCGTGCAGCCAGGAATCAGGAACTTTGACTGTGACGACATGCACACCTGCCTGGTCAGGGAGGACGAACGGGAAAGGAGCCCAAAAGCACATCTCTGGCCTTCTGGGAGGACTCCGGAATGCCGCTAATACTGCCGGTCTTCGCGTCCATGCTCAAGCCTGGCGGGCTTCTGCACGAAAGTCATCTCGACCGAGGCCGAAGGGCACTCGCCTGCAGGAAGCGGCGGCTGCACCACAAAAGCCAGGGTAGGTTCCAAGCAGCGCTGTCCCTCTGCACTGGCGTAGTGAAGCTGCGGGCCTTTGCTGTCGCCACTACATGACGGCCACTCCAAGACGGGGAGCTCTTGCAAGCCAAATTACGCAGGTGAGTGCGAACTCCCGCAATGAGCGTCAAGGCAACAGGCCCGCCTGGGGTGATCTGTTCTCGCTGGAAGTAGCAGATCGAAAGGCAAAGCCGGAATTGCGTCTAAGTGCTGCATCCTGCTTCAACGAAGATTGCAGCTGAGGAACTACTGTCCGAAGTCCCGGCCGATGTGGCCTCCAGTAGAGACATGTCACTACCAAGCAATGGAAACCCCAGCACATCACCAGCCTTCTCATAGCTCACCCGCAGCATGCCGTCACCGCCCGAACTCATGACAGCGGGCACTTCACCTGCCATGCGACGCAACCGCAACCGAAAGCTCGCATGAGAACCGACCGCCCTGAACTAGCTGCAACCACGGAATCTCGGCCTTCGCTCGAAATTTCCTGGACACTCTTCTCTTGGACCTTCACCTTTTCGATCTTCTCCGCGGTTGGCAAGCTTTGACATTCACTGCTTGGTGTGCTTTGGCCCTCGTGCTCAGGCTTGTCCTTTGCTCAACCAGACGTTGGCGTTCAACAAGTCACAGAGGAAATCTACACTCACTGCTGCCTCTGTGACCTCCTTGCCATCTTGTGAAGTGTCGTGATGCTCACCTCACCAGAAGACACTGCACATCCATGCCCGGCCGAGCATTCAGAAAACAACGCCTCTGCTGCACGAGACTGCAAGACATCCAGCACAACCATGAAATTGCATCATCATGTCTGGAAACCGTGCCACGCTTTAAGCAGCGAGCGTGTCTGCAATGTTCGCATGATGCGCCTATTCTTCTTGTTGTTCTTCCTGGCCAAACCCATGCAAGCACACGTGACAGAAGGTCGACAAAAAGCTGTCCTTGGATGAAACTCGTGGCAGAAGGTGCAGTCGGCTCCGTTGCGGCAACCCGCAGCACTGAAGAAATAGAAGGTGCACTCCTGGCGGTTCGAGGGATCCAGGCATCAGACACGCCCTTGTATGGCAGCACATCGCCTTGCAAGTGTCAGGATGTCCAACACTCCCAGCGCTTTTCATCGGCTGAACTCCAGGTTGTGGCTCTGGCTCGTCCTGTGAAGACGACGACCTGAGTGAGTTCGAACAAAATCGTATCTTCGTCTCTGGACAGTGCTCTGTTGCTCAGCGAGCAGCGAAACATTCTTGGATTGTTTCTTCTCCTGGCAATAGGAATCAAGGCAAGCACCAGGGTGCATCATCTCCTCTGCTTGACACTCAAAGTCCTGTTGTACAACTTTGCCGCCTTGCTCCTGAATCCTGCGCCACAGGCAGGCACCACCAATGCGTCCGAAGCATTCTAAAGCCAAGTGTGAAGTGTACTTATTTGCAATATAGTCATTTGAACCCGTTTGGCAGCGTTGCGACATGGCATGCTGGTCCAATCCTACTCTGAACATTGTAGTCCGATAACACGCGCCCGTAGCGCTGTAGCATAGGCTGATATTATAGACACTGATGACGATGGAACTGTCCAACATACATCAACAACCAAACGAAATCGAGCAAACAAGCAGCAACAACGCAAGAACGCGCATTCGATGCTTACATAATTCTCAGCATAAAGCGAAGACTGAAACGGCGACTCGAATTTCGGAGGACATGAGACTTGCGAACAAACACGGCAGTAAAACTAAGGAAGGCCCAGGCCCATTGTCAAAACTCGATGAACCACTATCAATATCGAGAAAACACGAACAGGCGCCAGGACAGCGATCTTTCTATCCTAACCCTCTGCAACAATCGTGATGGTGACAGGACAACGCAACAGCCTGTACATGTTCGTATCATGCCTTGCAATTCAACAGCGATTGCAGTGGTTCCCGAAATCACAAAGAAGATACCCCCGATGTGAAGCCCTGACTTTTTCAACAACTTTCCAACCCTGGAGGCGTGGGGAGTAGAACACAATCTGCCCTTCGGCCCAGGTGGTGGCACGCGGTCAAACCCGAACCCAAAACAATAGTGGCAAGCCCTAAACTTACCCCGACAGCAGCAGGGAATGGCAAGCGATAAAGCCGGAAACATCTCAAAAGAGCGGGTCGCGAGACGGAAGGCCTAAAGCCCGCCTAAACCCTCAACTCTCCCCCTCCGGAGAGCCGTGCAGTTTAGCAAACGGCGAAAGGAATCGCATCCCCGAGTGGCAACACCTGAACATCCGTAAATCCTCGTGGGGAACAGCACAATATCAAATCAAAACGAACCAAAAACGACTGGGATCAAGGCAAACTCTCGAATTGAAAGGAAAGGGGGTTGGAGAAAGGGTGTTGGGCGCGAAACCCTGCCTCAAACTTTGAAGAGATCGGAACAAGGAGGAATGGAGGAGCAGCGGTCTTAAATCAGAGGAGGACATGGGGAGCAGCGAGCCTTGACATCCTGTGATGCCGAAAGCCTGAGGTCTCGGCAGTCTCAAACCACCACCACCACCATCACGACCACGAGCACTCGCTTGTTGTTATCCCGCGTTGTCTTGCGTGTTTCAAAAATTCAGTCTTCTTGGTGTTCGAGACTTTTTCATCTTCCACAATCAGCTGTTGTGCCGAGGCCGTTTCAATGTTGTGTGGGGGGGCTACACCACCACCGTCCTGAACCGATGTTGGTCACCTTCCTCGGCTGCGGAGTCTTGAAAGCGGAGTTGGAAACACTGCGGACGAAATCCGAACTCACCGCTGCTAACATACGTTCCAAGAGTCACTGAGGCCGTCAGGGAAGGAAAGCTGCAAGATTGACGGGCATGGGCCGGGCAGGCGCATGTAGTAGTTGCAAGCCTTGGCTGATGATTGGGGTTCTGCCTTCGAGATGTTCCGGGCCTTCTCCTCTGAAACTGCAACTGACTTCGCATGCTGGTGTTTTGGTCTGTCACACCCCACGAGAATCACTCGGACTCACCGTCGCTTCACTCGCCACATGAGCGCACACGCAGATTCGTGGAGATCATTTTTTCACTCCTAACACATCAGCCGCCAAGGTACCGCTGTGCTCTCCGGCTGGACATATGCCGGATCCTGTGCCGAGACTCAGGACAACTTCATTCCCAGGAACCGGATGTACGGCTGCACTAGGTGCTCTCCTGGAGAACTGGAGGCGCTGACATGTTGCACCTTTCGAAGGGAGTGTAAAGCTCTTCATCGCTGGAGACACTCTCCTCGGGTACGTTCAGGAACCTCGGTACGGGAGCAGGACAGCCAATCACTTGGTCTGGTCACGTGGGAAGGTGTGGAAACAGTGCGATCCAGATTCGTGTTCTTCACAGTGCATGGCGGATGCAGCTGCACCTTGAACATGGAATGATACCCCAAAGTAAAAAAGATCATCAAGCAACGACGGACTGACAGACTCATGTGAACTGGCCTGGAAGTTCTGGAATTGTATTGGCTGTATCGGGTTCATGGCCAGCCGGGGGCAAGAAACCAGGAACAGCACTGTCCGGCAGAGACTGGGCAAGTGCCCGCAATCTGACTACTGCGTGGAGTGGCCATTGTGTATGTGTGGACCATCCGCACAAGTCAACCCTATGGGAAAAAAGATCATGTGAGACCCAATGGCGCTCCACTGAAACCGGAACGAGCGCGAACAGTGCATTGAGCCCAATGCTACAGACAGCAGGAACACTCAAATGCAGGTTCAAGGCAAATTAGTTGAATGAATACCAGCAAGCATGCTTGCAGACACTCTGAGAGCAGGTAAGCTTTTGTCCCCTTGTTCCGTAGCGTCTCCACTCTCTGCCAGAGGTCCTCACCGACGGCGGCGATCACGGCTTCTGCCTCGATAAACAGACTCAGTCCGACAACATTCCAGAAGAGAACTGCGCTTCGACTCGCCCGTGTTTAATGAGCTCTGCGCTTCGACGCCGGCGGTCCCGGCTCCGACTGCGGTCACCCCGTGCTTTCATGCCTGCAATGCAGCGACGCAACATAGTCGTCAGTTTCAACAGACTTTCAGAATCTTGACTGCAAGAACGCTGGCACTTGATGACTTGTTGCTAAAGAGGCAGCGCCTGTTAGAAAATCACGGCTCGTCCTCACGGCTTCATGCAGGCACACAAGACCCTGCCAGGCTTGCGGACGCTTGCCGCATCTTGCAGCCAGGGCTCATCTCCATGACGCTCTCCCGCGGCTTCATGGGTTCAGCTGCAGGCCTCATTGCATGGACAGACACGGAAAAACAAGTGAGGGAGCGTGGCGGCCGGAGCCTTGGTCGGTCTGGCTTCCAGTCGCCCTGTAGGATCATGCCATCCAGCACGATCTCCCCCTTCCTGCCCCAAGGGAGGGGGATGCGCGAATTACTCGCTCGAAAAATTCTCACTTCGATTCATCTCTCGAATCTCTCTCAGTCCTCAGTGCTTCGTGCGCAGCCTGAGCCACCTCGCCCGTGACGTAACGCACGACAGGCTTGTCCACGCCGCGCTGCCCCATGTGACAACCCATAACCTGCCACCGGCTTCCGCACCACACCGTCACATCTGAGGAACGAGCAGCCAATCCGAGAACCCAGCCTCGCCATACCTTTCCATCGCCTTCTTCAGGCTTAGCCTCATAGAGAGAGCAACCGGACCAAACAAGTCGAACACTGGAAAGCCATACACAGCATAAGCCTGCTCGTCCACTCCGTCGTGCCACCGGTTATCTCTATGGCAGTCCTCTCCATCACCTGGTTTGCCCGATCCCGGCATGCACCAAATGAAAAAATGCCCTGTGCCCAAAGGTGCCTTGCCTTCACCTCTCTTCCATGGAGTGCAATGCTGCTACTGGCTAATTTGCTATGCCAATCCCTGATAGCGTCTGGTAGAGTATGCTTACGCCTATGACGGCATTCGACTGCTATTTCCCCTTTCACGACCAGTAGCGAAGTGTGGGCGATGCGAAACTGATGTCTCCAGCACAATACATATCGAAGTATGTGTGAATCCGGGCTCAAGATTTGCTGCAATCCATACATTGTCATCCTAGGTCCATCTGCCACTCCACACTACGAGCCGAGTTCACAGTGTAGGCATCGCTGCCATGTCGCATCCTCTCCTGCACCCAAAAGTCCAGGAGAGGTCCAAGTCTGGATACCGCTAAGTGGGCACCACGACGACACTTCCCCCATCTTCAGATTGGTTCAAAGCTGTTTTCCGGATGATTTCTATTGACACTTGCAGCCTGGAGCCCGCTCTTGCACAACCCTGTGTCTCTACACCTGTCACATTGTCTTATGGGCTTCAGTTGTAGATGTATGTCGTGGGAGAGGGTGGATCTCTTATTTCCGATGGAAGACTTCCGATATCTGTTCATCCAATCGAGGAGTTGGGCTGGGCTAGGTGTACTGTCTGGGCTTCGGCTTGTTTTCCGCGACTGAGCCTCCAGTGTGTTCGATGCTTCGCCCTCCCAGCGAACACGAGTGTTTTGAACCGGCGCCTCACAGCAAAGCTCAGGGTGGCTTCCACCAGAATCTTCACAAACGGGACCGCCGAAGGGTCCCAGAGCTTGTGCCAACACTGGGCTGCTCAAGCGCGGCATCTCATTTCTTCGACAAGCCCACGAGGCTGTAGTACCTGCTCAACACGAACGGATGGATATTGACTTGGCTCGGGACGAAGCTGCGCGGCTTACGGAACCCCAGACGGAGTTGCAAAGGCCATGACGACTCGGCCTGTGGAGGGCAGCTGACGTCAGGTTGATTGACACGTGGCAAGCAACCGTGCCTTCCCCAAGGGAAGCACCGGAAACCGTGGATACTTTCTGGGTTAACCACGGGAAGTCCTGCCAGCGATCGTGATGAGACGAGACTGGTTGTGCAAAACAGCGTGGAAATCTACGCACCTCGCAATTCTGCAGCTTCTGCTCTGCATTCAGACCGCAAATGTTGAGCACACTGGCGCCATCTTCACCTCACAGAACATGCTTCGGTCAGTGCGACTAGTCATTTCTGGGATGAAATGTGCTCCATCAATTACATCTCGTGTGTCCCCGTAGGTTCCTGTATGTTCAAACCAAGAACACAGTCCTGGGGCGCCGACCCTGGAAGTAGGTCATCGCGTAAGGATCAGACCTCTCGCGGCGTCTGTGCTGTCAGACACCCTACTTCACATTCACGTCGATCCATCTTTGTCTTTGGGGGTCTGACGCCGAGTATGGCAGCGACAGCATGGACACGTAAGGCCTTAGCTCTTCAGAAGACTGGACCCTGATTGCTCGGGTAGTTCGAGGCGTCTCTTGGCGTCCGGCGAAAAGCCTTTTCCCAGAGACACAGGCGCTTGGGCCACCTGAAGTGTCCCAAGAAGCCTCGCTGTGGAATCTCTAAATGAAGCAACGGGCCTGCATACGATGAGTCTGTGGATGGATGTTCAGCACAGCGATCTTGAGCTGCTGATTCCTCAGGTTGTCAGCTTCAGCTACATCACTCGCAGCTCCGACCTGCATCAACCCATGAAGCATCGATTTGTGACACAGCCAAGCCACTTCCCATCCTGGTAAGCGTAGGCAAGGGTGTTGGGTGCAATCAGGGAAATCCCCCTGGCCCAGATCTGACCCTCTGTCGGCTCCAGGTTCACCTCTGTGGTCACTGGATCCCAAACCGACAAAACAGCACTCCAAGCCTCCTTCCACTGAGGGCTTCGCCGGGTTTGGGTCGAAGACAAGGTCTTCGCCGACGAGCTCCCCATACATGGCCATTGCCTGAACAAGCACGGGCACGCCCACACAGCTTTCAGAATCCGCAATGACCCATTTCGGTGCGTCTGTGTGTGCAGGCCTCCTGCTTGACAGGCTGAGGGCTCATCTCGTCGATGGCAGGGGAGGCTCGAGCAGCCTCGGGACTCGGCTCAGAGGCCGTCAGGCCGTCAGTGTCAGACCCATTCTCTCAGTCAGCCGCCAGGACGAAGCCGTTCTTGCTCACTTTCGCAGCCTCACTTCGGCTACGACGCAGAACCCATGATAGAGAGCGACTGCTGAGGCCTCCAGACGTGCGACGGCACTGTCGGTGAATCTGAAGTTGCCTGCGACACGGAGACACCGGCGTCAGATCAGGACCTGCACTGCAGACTCGCGCCTAACACGGAGACGTTGCCTGAGTTCGGATGATGGGTGAACGGTGGCTCCGGAAACTGCCAGGCTCTAGGCAGGGCACCCGCTTCTCCAACATCAGCCAAGATGGAGTTTCCGAAGGACTCTGTGCGCGTGGGGTCAGGCCCCCGGGCCTCAATAAAGGGGCACCCAAAGGGACCATGCAGGGCCGGGTTACCGGGATTGCTCCAAGGAGATGCTGCCTTGTCTGAATAAAGGACAACGAAGCGATTCTTGTCAAATGCTTGGATGGACATCTTGTGAGCCTGAAACAGCAAAAAGTTCGAAAGCGCTGAAGCAGGCGCCTAGCCAGAAAGCAGCTCTACCCGGCCTGGCCATTGCAGAAGTCCATGGCAGGCCCCCAGGTCAGTGCCTGAGCTCAGGCAAGACACGCTTAGACGCTAAGGCGGCCTCCTGCACGAAATGCTGCAAAAACTCGCCACTCTTTTCACTCCGATTTTCGCGCAGGCGGCGAAGGTCCCACCGTGAGACATTGGCGGCCCAGGCGGCCCTAGCATCTTTTGCCCTTCGTGCCACCTCGGCCACGCTTGTGGCCCCAGCCTCCTTTCCGCCGCCTGCGCAAGGCGAAGTATGCGAAGCGACAGGTCAACGCACCTTTAGCAGACAGGCTCAGCTGCCTTCCTATACATTCCAAAGTCTTCCGTCGATCACCATCCTCAGTGCGAGCAAGGCTGCGTCCCGGTCTATGCAAAATGCCACACCTTCATCCAAGTTTCGGCATCTTCCGGCATGACCAGGTCATCTTGCTGCTTCTCTAGCTCATGCGTTCTCCTGACCTCAGAAGCAAAAGAATGGCTGCTCAACGCAGATCCCCGAACTTCGGGGGATGACAGGCCCAGGCAAAGTGTACTTGCGAAAGCTCGCAGGGCAGGAGAGAAAGGCTCGGTACAAGCTTGACTTCCCCCTGCTGGAGAAGTCGTGACACCTGTGCTACACACAGGCTGTGAAGCAGACCCAAGACAAGCCCCATGAAAATGCAACGACTCAGCCGTGCTTCGAAGGCTTGCAGAAAACATGGTTCATGCAGCCCAGGGCACCGTCGACGACTGCACCTGCTTGAAAAGGAGGCACCTGCTTCCAGCACGGCCCGCTTTGAGATCCATACCGCGATTTTCTCTCAGCACAGCTCTCTGACTCTGGCTATGTCACTCCTCGAGGCGAGTGGAGCAATGCGCTGCAGGGCAGCCGCCATCAGCTTCGGGAGGCAGGACGGGCGTCTGCTGGCGCTTGATCGGGTTGCTTGTTCAGATTCGGTTTTCAGGGCCCTGAGGCCATCCATGCGACAGATGCCATGCTAGTCGCTGCGGTCCAACAGCTTCAAGGCTTTTGGAATTAAACAGGACACACAAAACGAGTAGTGCTGGAAAGGCGAGATCCTTAAGACAAAGCTACTGGGATCAGCTGGGATCAAGGCCATTTCAGCACCGCGGATGCCCGATGCACCAAGCTTCGCAGCTCGGAGCCTGCAGACACGGCCATGACAACAAGGGCCCACACGCAGGGGGATATCGTAGAGCAGGCTGCCTGCATGTTCCTGATTTCGCATTGTCCCGCCATGCGATAGCCAGGCTTTGGCCGTCACTTCCAGCCACGACTGGCGAAAACGCCTGGGTTTTGACACAACCAACATCGTCAGTTCAAAAGGGCATGGCAAGCGTGAAAAAAAAACACTAAACCCCAAGCACCCAAACCCCCCCGAACCCGTAAACCCTTAAACCCTAAACCCCCAAACGCTAGAACCCTAAACCAGAAAACCCTATGGCCACTCTCAGCGAGGGGCTGCTGCGCCCGGTGCAGTGAAGAGCTCGAGGGGAGACAGCTCGACCGAGCCGGCCTCCGCCAAGAGGGGCCCATCTCTGAATGCAACTTGATTTTTGTACATACACATATGTACATGTACATATACATATACATATACGTATACATATACATATACAGTTGCATATAGATATCCATACACATGTACATATACATGTACATATACATGTACATGTACATATACATTTCCGTATAAATATACATTGTCATACACATAAACATACACGTACGCTACACATACACGTACACATACACAGATGCACACATACAATATGTGCGTATATATGATATGTAGATATACATACATAGTCTAAAACCCAAAACAATACAGAAATGTAACGGGTACACTAGCAGAGAGTAGTCGCAGCAGCCATTTGTCGGCCTCCTCCACCGTCCCGACGACCAAAGCTCCAGCGTTGCCCTGACTGATAGGCTCATAACTCATGCCGTGCTGACATACAAGAGAACAAGAATATTTGGATCCTTGTTCTCGTCACGGAAAACCACTGCGATTTTGTTTCCATCAAAGGCGGTGACCTGATGAACAACTTCTCGTCACCAGGGAACTGCATGCAATCGACTCTGTCCGCCATGTCTACCAGAAATCTGCCACTAAGCCTTTCCAGGGCTCCGGCATGGATGTCACTGGCATGGACTGCATTCTCCCCCAACAGAAGATGGGGTGCAAATGCTGCAGGCGGTTTGCAGTCCTGAGAGAGTTCGCATCAAGCTTGACAGATCCTACAGTTCCGGGTATGTCCTTGCCCTGGCCGATGTATCCTTCATCACACACACAGCTGGCGCCTGCCAAGAATCGCGGGTGGGCAAAACCTGCATGAGCGATGCAGGCGAGGAGGCGCACCACTCAGCGTCTCTGCGCAGGATGCGTGGAGTCCACAGATGAGCTGATCGCAGTTGCCTTGAGATGCAAGGACCGTGCCGCGAGAATTTCAACATTTTGACTCTCCTGCTTTTTTCAACACTTTCGGAGCAGATCACTGCCAGTGCCAGGGGGGGTTGGGGGCAGGCAGTGATGTCCTTTGCTTCAATACGACTTCTGCCGCTCTCCACCGCAGACACGGGGCCAGTGCTTACGGGGGCCGATTTTGATGAGAGCAAGTTTTACTAGAAAGCTGGTCATAGTGACGTGAACACTTGTGTCCCAGATTGCCGGCCTGACGACGAGGTCTTCTTGAGGAGGGAGAGCATGCTGTCAGAAAACGTGACCTTGGGGTACAGCCGCCTGCCCTCCTACGGAAACTGCACAGTCTTGCGGCCTCAACTCGAAACCATGACTTGTGCTCCCGGCAATGTTGCTGTAGATGCTCTTTGTCTCGTCTAACGCTTCTTTGTTCGAGGTGACCTTGCGAAGGTGAACATCAGCTCTGGTTCTGGACAACTCTGCAAGAAAAGGATGCACGAAGCGAAACTCTGGGAGTACCAGCGCTCTGCTGCAAGGCTGTCTTGACTTTCGGATCCTTCGCTTGTGCGACAGCCTCCTGGCCAACTTGAGGGGAAAGCCGATACTCGTACAAATACTCGTACAGGATCTTCGAACGCAATCTTCATTACCATGCAGTTCCCCGAGAACCTGTCCTGAAGGCGCTGTGCCTCGTTTGCATGGCGCTCTTCGACACTTTGCTGCGCAGTGAGCGCAAAGCTTCTGAACCTCGGGCCGGTGTCTCTCAAAGTGAACTTCCCGTCTCAAAGCTTGCGAGGCCTCGAAAGTGTCTTGGAGAGGAACTCTACATTCTCTGCAACCGTCGCTTCTCCGACCTGCACGAAGGCAGACTCGCTGAAACCCTTAGACTCAATTGATGGCCTGCAGGGTTCCCGCTCTTGCAGCTTCCTGCTACGGTAAGTGGAGGTATCTTTTGCATCTCTGGTTGCATAAATACAGCTGTGGGCTGCCAGGCCTTCCAATCACCTGCGGTGAGGTGGGCATCAGTAGAAAGTTTGGCCTGCCATGTGTCTCAATGACTCTTAACAAAGGCTGTCGCAAAGCGATCCCGCTGCTGCCTTCAACGTCGCATTGCTTCCTTGAGGAGCAAGTGCCATGAGTACCGCAACGACTAGGCTGCCTGCAAGCGTGCACAGGAACCACGTTTTTGGCGGACGGGCAAACATGCCAGCTGTTGCGGAAGGCCCCCTTGGGCCGCATGTGGACAGCATTATCCGGCCTGGATCCCACCATATGGTACCATGTAGCCACACGCGGACCGGAATCAGCTTCTCAACTCAGAACGGGACAGACCCAGCATGGCGTTCTGCACGCCTGCTTGGGCCTTCCGCAAGGGTCTGCTCTTTCGGGCGGAGTTGCTGTAGCCAGCACAGGCCTTGGTTTGGGAGCGCCCCTTCCGGTCGAAGGAGGGCCTCAGGCTCCAGGCTCCAAGAGGCTCCAAGAGGCTCCAATTGGCTCCAATTGGCTCAAAGGCCAATCAGCGGGTTCTGTGCAAACAGCAGACGAGGAAGGCACGAGTGGTGGGATGCCGGGCGGCAGGGCTTGCGCCCCCCGAGTGGAGAGACACCCCTTGACCCAAAAAACAGAAGACACATCACCACGTCGGCAGCCATATAGCATGTCTTTTGCAAAGACACGAGCCTTGAACGAACAACATCACTCCTATGACAATATGCCCTACAGGGGGTAGGTGTAAGGTTTCGGCTCCGCCCTGAATCCAAAACCCCCCAAACCCCTCGCTGCAACTCCAACTTCTCACGCCGCAATTTCCATCGCGAATGAAGCAGGGACTTCCGGTGCTGGGTGACTGCATCAAGCTCTTTCTCCTTTTGCTGCAGCGAATTTGGTGACTGAGCCGTCACGATGTTCTGAATTCTGTGAGCGCCAGCAATGCTAGAGCCAGCACACCACTCCACCCCAATCTTGATGCCGAACCTGAGCTGAAGCTTCCCTGCATCGTAGACGGATCATCTCAGAAACCTAAATTGCCCTGGGCCTAGGGCCTATGGTGAAGGGGTAGAAGAGGTCGTCGGGAAGAAGCACTGGAAGTTGCGGCCGTGGAGGGACCTCGGTCCATTGCGGCCGCAGACCCCCTGGGGAAGCCTTGCCTGCCGAAGCCTTGCCTTCAGCACGAAGTCATCCCTTTCAGCTCGAAGGAACGAAACCTGAAAAACTCGCGGGCGGCTGCGGCAGAAACAAACCGACGCATAGACGCGCAGGTGCGACCAGGTTTGAGCCAAGTGCGCTGTAGCCGAATGGGAAGGACTGCCTGCGGTTGAGGGTTGCGGTTTCTCGGAACAAAAAAAAGGAAGGCGGCACTCAGAGGAGGGGGCCTTTCAGCACGGGGGTCTTCGAGAGTGAAGCTGAGCACCCCGATCCTGCGCCGGAGCAAGGCCCCAAGGCTACCGCAAGACCGCAAGAATCGCAGCTGCGAACCAGCTCTCCTGTGCGAGATTCGCGCACCGACAATCTTGGCTTGCGGATTCTGCACATCTCCAAAGTATGAGTAGATGACCTCCAGGATGCAGACTGCTCTCTCTCTCTCTCTGCGTGTGAGGTTTCGAAGCCTCGAGGTCAACACCCGTCACGACCCCCGTGCATGTTGAGTTTGAGGCCTCGCAGAGACACTACTGGTGAAGCGAGCCAAGGAGTTCTTCGTTTCAAGCTGATGCTGACAGCGGGCGGCTTGGGAACTCCCAGTGTCACGTTCCGTCCGGGGCTACTCCGGCGGCCGCATCTATTGTGCACCCGCAGCAGCTGTGTACTTTGCAATGAGGCGCCCGAAGCTAAGCTGAGGAGCACAAAGCCCACTGCAGAGTGCACGGATTCGATCAATTGCCTAGAATCCGGCACTTCCCCGGGCCTTCTGTGCTCCTGCCGAGTCACTGAACTCCGGCACCTCTGTCCTGCCACCGTTGACCAACGAAGAGGCTCCAGGTGACAGTGCTGGCAGCATCTTGCAGCTTCAGCGCTCTGAAGCAGGCTGCACGGCTTTTTCGACTTCGTCGCGCTCTGGAGAAACGTAGCAGAGAAGCCTGTGCTCTCTGCCACAGAATAGCCTCTCAGCAAACCCAGCCAGCTTCGATCGCGAATGCAAGGTGCTGCAGATGAGGATTCCTGTGGATGCCGTAACTCGCCACGGCACGGGGATGGCTCTAACTGGTTCGCTCGCGACTACTATTCTTGAGCCACCATCGACAGGAAACACAAAGCAGTCTATGTCTGACATGTCACGTACGTTGAACTGCAAGAACACCCTTGAGGCGGTGCCACACAAACCAATCTTCTTTTCATCCTTTGGCAATTGAAATTTGACCTGTACATTGAGCTCAGCCGAGATCGTCCGGTGTCGTCCGCCTGGCCCTCTCAAGCTCAGAATGCTGGTGCAAACTGAGGATAACAAGTAGCCCTTGGTCAAACTTGCATCGGCAAGCCTGAGACTTCGAGCTGCGCCACTGGTGGACTGAATCATTCTTGCTTCGCATGACCACATTGATGAATCGCTTAGTCTTCGGGTCCATCCCAGGTCCAGTCCTCACCACACAGACATATCATGTGATTGCAGCCTTCGCTCTTCATGGTCGCAACACCGCAGCTTGGACAGAACTGCACTCCATCTTCCATCTCGGACTGCTGCTCTTGCATTTCCTCGCAGCTCGTGCCTTCATGGTGGGTCGTTACTTTGCACTTGAAGCAGTGCGGCTCATTGCAGCAGAGTGTTGCTGTCTTCGGAAATCTCCTCAGCACGGATAGCTGCAAAACTGCTCGGAGTCCAGCATCCTCGATGAGGTTTGCAGCAGCCTGGAACCGGTCCCAAAACTTGTCGGGCGCCTTCCCATCATTCTGATCAATCTGGTCGTGGTACCCGGGATGCCACGTAGTGAGCAGCACGTCAAGGAGACTGCCTGCGCTCATCTCTCCTCGTTCATACTGACACCAGCTCTGCTCCAGTTCCGCTGCTTCGGTCGGGTCTTGGGCTTGGCTGCCGAAGGCCTCCCTGGCCAGGCATTCCCGGGAGTCACTTGGCGTTCCAGGAAACAGCAAAGATCCTGGCTCGTCACAAGCTCCGCACCGCAAGGACAACAAATTTTCAGCATTCCCCTGCCACTTCAACAGCGTCTCCGCCTTGACGTACTTCCGCCAGCAGGAGGGCGGCACGAAACCCTTACAACCCGGACAGCGCAGGGTCGGTACGGCAAAGGGAGTCTCCTGAATGATGTTCTCAAAATATTGCGCGAGGCAGCAGGTGCAGAACCATCCCTCACAGCCTCTATCAACGCAGAGTTGGGCAGCACTTCGAACACATTCCGTGTTCTCGAAACAGATCATGCAGGTGGTTGACTGTGCCATTAGGTCTGGATGCGAATGGTTCAGATTCTTGCCGAATCTCTCTATGCTCTCACTTGCACGTACTGCTGCTTCGTGAGCAAGAAGCTGCTTCGCTACCGCTTGATATGTCTGGGTCAAGATGTGGGTACTGAGACGCGGCTCGACAAGAGGCTGGCATTCCGCGGTACGCCCCTCGCTGGAATCTCCTCTGTACGATCTTGGCACAGATGAAGCCCTCCTGAGGGTCATCCGGATGCTTCTGTCGCTGTTTGTGCCCTTGATTTCGCTTCTGAGGCGGCGAAGCACGGGAATTGGATGAAGCCCGGACTTCCAATCGGCATCCGGCGAAGATGCTCGATCTCCTTTCGTTGCCGCATCACCGTGGCCCTGGCCCCCGGGATCACCATCAAACTCTCTGCTATCATTCCGAGCATTCATACTTTGAGCACTTTCAGACGTTGCATCCCGCATTGCATCCCGCACGACTCTGTACATGAGGTGGGCACCTCGATGTCGAGCAAAGGCACACAACTGCTGGGCATGCTCGGGTGGCTTCTGGTAGTTCTCCATGTAAGCAACCAGCCACTGCTGCACATGGCGACTGTCGGACATGGCCGAGCCAGCGGCGACGCCCCACTTGGAACCCGAAATGTCTGTGTTGAAACATGTTGTCATCACGGCAAATCAAATCTTAGTGCAGATGTGCGGTGCTTCGCATGCATGAGAGCTGGCAAATCCTGGTCAGCTCTTCCACCTGGCAGACTTCCAAGTCGGCAAGAGCAGCCAACAGAACACGGAAAGACTCTTAACCACCATGCGCCTGGACCCAGTCTGCTGGATCTTGCGCTGAAGTCGGCACACTGCCGAAAGCAGCAATATGCGTCCATCGATTTCCAGATCCTGAACGCACTGAGGGTTAGAAGTGCAGAGCACTCATCCTGTTGCTGAAATCCTCTCTAGCACTGAATCATGAAGATGAGAGAGGGCTAGAAGCAGGAAGCTGTGCCCCGACAAAGTGTTTCTGAGATCCATGCGACCGAAAGGTAGCATTGCAAGCAAGCCTGGCCAGCTTCCGGGAAGTCAGGACTCCTTCTGAATAATTGCGTGCTCGGCTGAGGCTCCCTGCCAGTGAAGCCAGTCGCCGCATCAGGGCCTTGAAGCTTGCACTGCTCGAAGATCTCCAAAATCCGTAGTGCTGGTAGTATGGGCTCTCATGGTGCAGCTGCTAGTATCATGCTCGGCCTGCACGACAGAAGGCTGCCAACTCCTCTCTCGTCAGAGACACTGTGCAACCTTCTCCACCAGAAACACGCAAGTCATCTGGGACCGGAGGGCATTCTCGCAACTTAGGCGAAGGCCAGACATGGAGTTCTCTCCAAAGTTGATGGGCACCTTGGAGACACGAAACACAGTGAGCCAAAATGGGTAACGAGATTGCTGGGTTTCGGCTTCAATGTTGCACCTGCTGACCTACCATTTCTTAGCTACCTCTAGAGGAAAAAGAACTGCTCGTAGACTGTTGCCGACCTGAAACCCTAAAAAATGCGGAAAAAAACTAAACAACTAAGACAGAGAGAAACCCAACAAGGACATCATTCAATACACGCGCAGCCCTCCGTCTAAACCAAACCCATAACTATAAAACCAAGACCTACAACCCTAAATTCTGAACCCCAAAACATGCTAAGCTGCTGAACCCTAAACCCAAAGCCTTAAACCCTAAACCCCAAGTCATAAACGTGTTGAACCATAAATCCTAGGCCCACGAAAGATACTCGGGCGGCGTCTCGAGCATCGTCTTGCTCCCCCGTGCTGCTGGTGTTCACGCGTCGACATGTGCCTCACAGCGCTGCCAAAGCTGCTCAGGCAGCCACCTAAACAGCTCCTCAATTCTCTACGTGCCTGCCATCGTGATACCAGGCACTGTAGCCTCCGCACGGGCTCCGTAACTGGAGCACGTGCCGGAGCTGTCGTAGTCAAGGCATTGAGAAACCAACAGCGGCCTCGACAAGCACTCAAGACGATCGCCTACAAGCCGACGAAAGCCATAAGGCATAGCTGGGGGAGGTACAACCCATTCTGATAACCAGGGTTGCCAGATCGAGCCTACCACGCAGAGAACTCAAGACCGAAGATATCAAAACAAGGACATCTCTCTGTGAAGCTACCTCGGGCTGGCTTCCATCCGACTGCTCCTCCGGAACTGCCATGCTGCACGATGCTTGTACTATCTTTCAGAGGTTGCCGAGTCTGGAACCTGGAAGAAGTGAACGCTGCCTCCTTGTTGCAAGCGCACCACCTGGCAGCCTGAGCATGCAGCAGTTGCCAAGGCCAAGAGTTGTGATTCTGCAAGCTATCCAATCACGCTCAGAGACCTCACCAGAAGACATCCCGCGACAGAGGCAAGCATGAGACCATTTCTGATCATGTGCTACTTTGCCAACAGCAGCGCAGCCCACCCATAAATTGGAGTCCGCCTTGACTGACCACATCTTGCAGCGTAAAGCTCACTGCCATGTTGGTGATGCGTACTACCTTGTCGTGCAGCCGAGGCAATGCAGGCCGAAGATGAAAAGACAAAGGATTTGGGGATTGAAATCTGGATGTGGATGCCCATTCAGCTGGGGACATCACTTGCTGAGTCTCGTCGAATCCAAAAGTGAAGTTGTAGTGCCTCAAGATCGCACGTGGACAATCGGACTCCGAGCGGAACCCGGTGCCAGGTCGCACACACGTCCTTAAGGACACCAGTGCAGCTGCAGGAATCAGCACCTGGGGGGTTGTGGGGTGAACCCGGATGGCTGGCTCAGGCGGCCACCTCCTGAGAAGACCGGGTCTTCAAGTGGCGCGTTGCCCGTGCACTGGGTGCTAGCCTGCTCAGAGTCCAGCCGGGCCCCCAGCGCCTCCCACTGACGTGTTGCTGCCCCGACATACTGAGGATGACACTGATCCGGTTGCCTTTGCACCGCAACGAGGGGGCCTACCAGTACTGACAATGTCCACTCCACCAGGGCCGCAACCGATCCAGCAGGACATGAGGCCACTATCTCCGGCAGCAGGCAGCGACTTCCGCAGCGCATGTCCTGGCACAAAACGATGCTCCGCAATTCAATGGAGGAATCAGCTGACGCCTCCGGCATGTATTGGCTGCGCAACCTCGGATCAGGTACATGAATGGGCGTTGGGCAGTGGCGTGTATTGAAGCTGGAGCTGAAAACATGTGTAGTATTGCAAACGAACGCACCGAGGAGAACAGCTTCTCGGCGCTTGCACGGCACGCGCCAGTTCTGTACAAGTCAACATTTCTGGTGAGGCCCAGGCATGAAGCTTTCCAGGCGAGACCTGTCCAGCTTTGCCCAGACTCTGCAACCCCAGATTGCAGAAGCAGACATCAAGCCAAAGCTCAGGCCTTGCTCCGAGCTTTGTGCAAGTTGTGGCCAGGTCCACATTGCGCCAACAACCGGCGGAAGGAACATCGTTCAGGAACCTACCAGCACTGTGCACGATCACAAGAACTTCAGTGGGCCGCCTGCATTTTTTCAAGTCGGGATCAACTCATGAGCCGGTCCGTGAAAAGCAGGCCGAGCTTGAAACACTTCTGGATACCGTGAAGGTATTATCAGTTATAAGGGCTGCTATAACAGCTACTACAAACCCATACAAACCCTAAGCCTGGTACATCGTTTCTGCGCATCAAGCGCTTGGACCTTCGACGACGGCAAACTCCCATTGATGGTCTCGATTAGCGTCGCGCTCGAATCTCGGTGAATGCGCTACTTGCCTTTGAAATAATCTCATCGAGGCATAGAAACGGCAAGGCCGGAGGAATTTGTGTGGCCTGGGGAAACCCTACACAATTAAACATCATGTCGCGCCTCACCGCTTGGCCGGGAGCCGCGCATGTGCCCAGAGGATCAGCTGTCGGCAGGCGGAGGCTGCTCACGACCTGACTTGTTTTCCCATCCGTAGCAAGCGCCCAGCACTGAAGCTGTGCCTCAACATTGCCAGCAGCTTCCAGAGTTGAAGGGCCTGTCACGGCTAGCACCTGGAACCAGTCTCAGTGAGTCTGCTACACTGGACAATTGGCTGTTGCTGAATGTTCGAAGCCTCTCTAGAGTTCAGCGGGTCAAGGAACCCTTCAGACCCTGCTGCCAGAAATCCCATACTCACGTCCAAAAGATCCTCTGCTTCGTCCATAGACTTGCTTTTGAGCATGCACATGGCTTGCGCGACACCATATCGGGCAGGATTACCAGCTCCAGAGCAATGTTTGTTTTGGCTCCTGAACCGCCTATGTCGGGCACATGCCAGCCAGGCCTCTCCGGCTGAAGAAAGTGCCGAGTGAATCTGGGGCGACAGTTCAGCTTTGGAGGTAGCGTGTGCGAACTCTACGAGTGCTGCCACTACGGCTCCCTACTTGAATATCTATCGGTGGAACCGTGCAGGCCTTCAAAACGTCGCCGGCACGATATCCTCGTAGAACCTGTTCATCTGCCTCATCCAACCAGGAGGTTATGGACGATGCCGAACATCCTCAGTGCTGAGGGCTCCAACCACAGCGCCCGTCGAAGTACTTCGCTGCCTCTCCTGGGCAGAGCAATCCAAGCCTGTCAGATGCCATCACAAAGACTAAGGGCTCAGCGGTCCTGTATCACAGCGTTGATCTGCGAGGACGACAGTGTTGCCTGCTTCGGTTCAGCGCGTGCTCCTGTGATTCAGAGCTTCTTTGCTGCCTCATTCTGGAAGACTTCGCCGCGCACTGCACCTAAGAACTCAAAGAGTCTCAACCTGAGCCACTTGACTGGTATTTCGTTGTAAAAACAAATGCATTGCAAGACGCTGTTGTCCACAGAGACGCAGAGAAGGCCACGCAGATCATCTGCAATGACCCATAGATCGACACGCCTTGAGAGACGCCGACACATGGCAAAATGAGGTGGAGGCAATTCGAGATGCTGAGCCTTCGACGGATTTACACTATGCAACCAGCTTTTCGAGTAGCAGTACTGCGGATTGGCATTCACTGGTCCTGACACCGTAGCTCTTCTCAAGCGCGGTATGCGGGTTGCACGCAAGCCTTCTGGAAGGCAGCTGAAACTTCCAGCCAGCCCCGAGAGACCACTGCAGTCTGGGTCACAGCCTCGCGAAAGCTCTACAGCTGCGAAGCTACCATGAGAATGCCAATGGCAATGTCCCGAGCCCGGAACAGCAGTTCACATCGCACTGACCCTGTCCGCATTTCGCCAATGTACGGCTGCTCTGCAATCCGGCTTCAACTACAGGACGTGCAATCCAAGGCATAGGCCTGTGTCAGGTCGCACGTGCAAGTGCCCAGGTTCACCGGATCATTGATATCGACCTGGGCCCACGATGCGTTTACTGAGGTCTCATGGTCTCCTAGACGGCCACGACGCAGGCTGCTTGAGCTGTGGACGGTTGGCGCAGCACTTGCAAGCGTCCTGTGCTTTTTAGACAGCTAAATCATGCTAAATACATCCAGGCCTTAGCTCTGAGGTCCAAACAGCAACAGTAGGCCCAAAGACTGCAGCCAGGCTCTTCGAAGGCGCATGGCCTGTTCTACGCTCAAGGCCGACATATTAAAGTGCCCTTGG